GAATATTTTTAAAATATATTTCAAATATATTTTTCTTTCATGGGGGTAGGGACACAGTGAATCTATGAACACAGGTGCAGGTCCTAATTTGACGGACGTGTTGATACAGACAGTGTGCATTTGGGGCCACTCACCCACATATGGACACCTTTCAATTTAGGACCTCCTCATAGAGTAACAAGCTGCTGCTGCAGCCACCCAAACAAACCTATATGGGCCAGAGAACCCATGTGAATGAGCCCTTAATTTTTTTTTATTATCTTTTACAATTTTGTAATTATTTTTTATTTACGCTGTTAGGGGGGCTTTTTATAATATCAGGGGTCTAAACAAACTTTTGAGGCAGAGAAAAAGAATGGGGGACATAGATTCCTCCATCCCTTTCTCTGCAGCCTCAGCTGCACTGGGCAGTGAATGAACAGTAAGCGCTCTGTTCAGAGGCTCCTGTTTATTCACAAACGAAAGCATATTAAACACAGTTCACTATGCTTCAGCTATGAATTGTACCAATCACTAATTGTGTTCATTCACAAAAGGAAGGAGCCAGTAAATATTACATATTTACCGTCCCCTTCCCCACTCTCCATCCTGGAATGATCCCTCGCCTTGTGTGCTGTCAGCAGCTGGAGAGAGAGGCAAGAAGGGAAGGCAGCAGCGCTGTAGGGCAGGGGGCACACCGGGGGGATCCGGGCAGCAAGGGGAAGAGGATGGTGCACAAGGAGGGTGGTTGGTGCAGTGGTGGGTGGGCGGCAGTTACAGGAACTGGTCCCCTGTGTGTCTGTCCCTACAACAGTTGAAAGCCAGTAGGAGGGAGAAAAGGAGAAACTGTCTTTCAGCTGTTGCAGGGGCAGACACATAGGGGATCTGTTCCTGTAATTGCCCCCTCCCCCACCGCACAGATCACCCTCTCTCTTGCCCACATCCGATTGGGCTGCAGTACAGGAGGACCAGTGCTAACCTCTTATCAGCAGCCCTGCTTGGACTAAAGGACCTCTTTATATACCTTTTCTGGTCGATGCCCCTGGAAGTTGAAAATCACTGAAGCAGACGCCACTACTTCAATGATCTCCACTTGCTTCAGGGTCCAGTGGTGAGCTGCTAGCTTGCTGCATTGTGAATACAGGACCTTGGCCACTCAGCACAGGTGCCATTCAGAAAATGTCTTTCATTGTCTGAATAAATGCAAAATGTTCTTTGATTGAACAAGGTGGAGAACAGGGCATCACTGCCCCGCTTTTCCTCGTCCAATCAAAGAACACTTTACATTCATTCAGAATATGCAAGACATTTTCTGAATGGTGCCTCTACCGAGCAGGCGACCTCCTGTTATTACAACAGGTCAGGCCAGCCTCTCAGCACAGGACCTGGAAGCAAGCGGAGATTACTGGAATAGTCTACTTAAGTGATTTCTAGCATCCGGGGCATCAACCAGGAATGGTATCTGCATACTGTAGTTACAAAGGTCCAAGCTGAACCATACCATACCAATTCATCTTTAATGATAAAGGCATAATCAATAGGAGAGCATGGGAGGAGAAGGGCCATAATACAACTATTCCAACTTGGGGTTCTGTTGGTATATTAGGCCACCCTGTGTTGGGGGAAATAATCTGCAGATGACTGCAGTCATGTAGAGGTGCCTCTCTAAGGACACAGGGCCTTTTTACCAGATACGATGAGCCCCCAAGTTCCCTTTAAATGCCATAACCTGTACTGTATTAAACCACCCTACAGTCCTATGTTTATACATGGTCAGACAACTTTTTGAACCCATATCTTACAGATATAGTATTACCTAGGCTTGGAAATATTCAGTTATGTTTAGGGAGTCTTGCAAACAGCTGGTTTAGCTAAAATGAAAAGTTCACTTTTTTTCCTTTACAGCTGTTCTGGCCAATCAGAATAGTGAGACATATGGCACCTGTTGATGTAAAATAAAATGCAGCAAACTCAACATCAAAGGAAAAATTTATAAACAATTATTGGAAGAAGTATGTATTAACATTTGAACCATTCAAAGTCAGAGCTTAAACCGCATACTTGGGCAGCAATTAATCTTTACATAATCTCTTTCTGCATGAAATAGATTAAAAATGGTGGGAAAGATCGTCATGGCAACCTAAAGCAAACAAACATCTTCCAAGGCAATATGTTACAGTCAATTTAAAAATTAGGGATAAAGTGAACACTAATGAAAACAAGATAAAACAACAAGATCCCTGGGGTTCTTTTGTTAGTGATTCATTTGGTTTGCGCGAATAAAAGCCTTCAGGGCCTGGAAGCCGCCACTATTGTCACAACTAATTTCAGTCACAGAGAAAGCTGCACTGGTCTGGTTACCAGTCGTATTACAAGACTTTTGCTGCCTTCCTTTGTATTATCAACAATATTTTATTTACTTGGTTACTCTAGGATTTATTATTAGAGGCTCACTCTATCCACAGCTGATGTTTTGCTTATAGATGGGATCTGCAGTTTCTTTCACTCATCGGCAAACTTCTTTGGTCCATGTTACAAGGTGATTCTGCTGCTGGTGACACCTTGCCAATGGCAGAATCACCAAACTGCCAAACACCAAACCCAATTTCCTTAAAGGATGCTGTTCTTCTGCTGACTGAAATGTTGCAGAATCCCCGTCACTAATAAGGAGGCAGCAATGGAGGAGCGACACCTTCCTGGTATGGGCTGCCAGAGAAGGACACCATAGAAGAAGACAAGCTGAGCATTAGTGATTGTGTTGCATGAAAGGCCACTTGGAGTTTGTTGTGGCAATGCGGTGTCCTGCCACGGTAAAAATCAAGCTGATAACCCTGGATTCTCAACCAGGCAGGTTGAGGGGCTCCAGAGGGTTGATGTATTGCAGAGGAAACTGGCTTTTCGGTTTCCTCATTTATTCATGAAGTCCGTTTTGGGATCTGGAGCCTGGAGATTTCAAAGAGATCTGGGAGGGATGAAATCTCCAATCCTGGGACCAGGTTTTGGGAATGGCCAGGACACTGATTACACAGGTGTGTGCAGGCTTTTTCATAGAGGCCTAACCATGGTTCTGGGCTCCATCCCGGAAGACAGGAGTCAGGAGGGCTCCACCCGGAAGACAGGAGTCAGGAGGGCTCCACCCCGGCAGACAGGAGTCAGGAGGGCTCCACCCGGAAGACAGGAGTCAGGATGGCTCCACCCTGGCAGACAGGAGTCAGGAGGGCTCCACCCAAAAGACAGGAGTCAGGAGGGCTCCACCCTGGAAGACAGGAGGTCTCTGCCTTGGAGTCAGGTGGGCTTCACCAAGGAGAGGTGGAAGCCAGACTAGCTGTGTGCTAGTGGCGAGCTGTGTGTGAGAGCCATAATTTGGGAAGAGTCTGCAGGAGACAGACATCAAACTGCTTACAAGCCAGGAGGCTGAATCTTTGTTGTTTTTGCTTGATGGTGGATACCCCTGCGTGCGAAGCATTTTTGTTGAACTTTTTCTTTTAAATAAAATTGGGCAAAAAAGGCCCTTAAAGAAGCGAGTTGCTGTGTGCTTTAACCAGAAAAGCTCTACCATTTGTAGTGAGTTCCCACATGGAGTAGGCTTGGAATCGCTAGCAATTCTGCCATAAAGCCCAGATTGGTAGAGGGCTGCAGTGATGGTCGTCCTTCTGGAACTTTGTCCCATCTCCACACAATCTCTGGAGCTCTGTCAGGGTGACCATCATGTTCTTGGTCACCTCTCTTAAGGCTGTAATCCCCCAATTGCTCAATTTGACTGGGAAACAGATCTTAGAAGAGTCCTCCTTGTGCCATTTGAGAATTATGGAGGCCACTGTGCTCTTGGGAACCTTTAGTGCAGCAGAAAATTTGTGTGTAGCCTTCCCCAGATCTGTGCCTTGCAATAATCCTGTCTCTGGGCTGAGTTCCTTTGACCTCATAGCTTTTTCTCTGATACAATATGCATTGCCAGCTGTAAGGCCTTTTATAGAGAGGTGTGTGCCTTTTAAAACATATTTATTTATTTCAGGTACTTATATAGCACTATCAATGTACACATCACTTTACTTATATATTATACATTCACATGCCCTCAAGGAGCTTACAATCTAAGGTCTATAACTCATATATACACATACTAGTGTCAATTAATCTACCAGCATGTCTTTAGAGTATGGGTGGCAACCAGAGGAAACCCACACAGGCACAGGAGAACATTTACACTCCATGCAGGTAGTACCGTGGTTGGGATTCAAACTTACAACCCTAGTGCTGCCAGGTGGAAGTGCTAACCACTTAGCCACTGTGCTGCCTGAATCATATTCAGTCAATTTAATTTACAACAGGTGGATTCCAATCACAGTGTAGCAACATCTCAGCAATGATCAAAAGAAACAGGAGGCATCCAAGAAAAATGTAAAGTGTTGTTGCAAAGGGCCTGAATACTTAAGCCAATGTGATATTTCAGTTTTTTTCCTTTTTCATAAATTTGCAAACATTTCTAAAATTCTGTTTTCACTTTGTCATTATGGGGCACTGAGTACTGATTAAAGAAAAAATGAATTTAAACAACTGTAGTATCAGGCTGCAATACAACAAAATTGAGAAAAGTGAAGGGGATCTGAACACTTTCTGAATGCACTGCATATCTCTCAAACAGCCTGAAAACAGGTATAAGAACCCCACCAATTTGGGGAGTGTGTTACCAGGTGAGTCAAAATATACTCAGTATGGTCCAGGCTCCAATAGACTCAGCCTTCTTGTTAATCCTCCATCCAGCTTGCTAGTGTGTCCCATAATGCCCCTTGATAAATCTCAGAGTATATCCACCAAATACAAGGAAAGAAAGAAGAGGGAAGAGAGCCTCACATAGTGCAAATACTGCTTTATTAAATATAAGGATTAACAGTATTGCACTTACATAGTAGAAAACATTGATAACCGCTTATAAGCGCCACTTCCAATAAGGCCACCGTGCACTCCAAGGAGTCACCTAGAATAACAAACTGTGCCCACTGCTATTCCCACTTTTGCACTGTTGGGTCACCCCTCCAAATCATTGGATTCAGGTGTTCCAATCACCTCCATGGCCACAGGTGTATAACATCAAGCACCTACAGTAGTTAGTTTGCTAGTTAGGCTTTCTGTTAGGTTACTTTTAGGCATTTTCACATTTGATTATGTCTCATTTGTACCTTCACCTTTATGTGCATCCTGTTTGCTGCTGTTTAGATGTGTTTTGTTTTACTGTTAATAAACTTGCTTAAATCATATATAGTCTGGTCTCAGCTTCCTAAGTGTAGTTATACAGATCTGGCCATCTCTGCTGCTGGTATCCCTAACACTCTACCAGATATATTAGTGCTTCATAGGCTTTTCAGCATCAAACATCTGTTTCTCATATTTGCAAGGCTGCCACCTGGTCTTCGGTTCACAAGTTTAAGTTTTACCAGGTTGATGTTCAAGATTCTTTTGAAGCCATATTTTGTATAGATATGGCTCTTCTGAAGCCAGGTTTGGGTGTAAGGGCTGCAAGCTGCTTTCTGAATTCTGTCCAGTCCTTCTTGATCTGTTTGACCTCCAAGACAGGATTGTATCAAGGCACAGATCTGGGGAAGGGTACAGAAAAATTTCAGCAGCATTGAAGGTCCCAAGGAGCACAGTGGCCTCCATCATCCGTAAATGGAAGAAGTTTGGAACCACCAGGAATCTTCCTAGAGCGGGCCGCCCGGCCAAAATGATCGAGAAGGGCCTTAGCCAGGGAGGTAACCAAGCACCCGATGGTCACTCTGAAAGAGCTCCAGCATTTCTCTGTGGAGAGAGGAGAACCTTCCAGAAGAACAACCATCTCTGCAGCACTCCACCAATCAGGCCTGTATGGTAGAGTGACCAGACGGAAGCCACTCCTCAGTAAAAGGCAAAGGGCAGCCTGCCTGGAGCTTGTCAAAAGGCACCTGAGGGACTCTCAGACCATGAGAAACAAAACTCTCTGGTCTTATGAAACAGAGATTGAACTCTTTGCAAAGCAGTGTGCACAAGCTGACAGGGAGGAGAACTATTTTCTTTACATACAGTTCTCCCCGTCGGAGATGCTCGGCAATCACCGGGTGATAGCGAGTAATCACCGGCCGGGACCCAGTGATTGACAGCTGCAGCCGCGAATTGCAGCGTGGGTAGGGCGCGTACACCATCTACCCGCAAATGCAAAATCACGTATATATACATGATTTTGCGCACCCGTGCCGCCCTGTAGCAGTATATCTGTATATCTGTCAGGAACCAGTTAGAGTACTAAAGGCTCCTCTATGACAGTCTAAACAAGACCCAAATCCTATTATTATTGAATGCGATGCACATACAGCATAAAGCAAAGCCAAACTTACTTTACCTTCCCTGGCTGAGTGAAGCTCTACTTCATTTGTGTCTCACATGCCTCCCCTCCCAGGCACTGCATGTCTGCAGCTCCCAGTGGGAGGGTTTTGGCAATAGAGGCAGTGCTGTTAATCTAGAAAGCAGTGGGCAGGTCTAAATGTGGCCAGATGCTGATTGGCAAGTTACAGTGACAATATTGATAGCCATGCCCCCTGCAGCATTCTTTCATTCCGCTGTAGTGCAAGCAAATGAGGATTATGATGGATACTCACTCTGGGGCTGTGTAGTGTGTACAGACCACTATACTGGCATAATGGGCGCTGTGTGCAGTGGGGTCCGCAGGGATGGCCAGGAAATTTGGAGTTAGCTGACCTTTTCACTTTTTATAAACCTAACCATTAAACATGGCCTTTCCAAAATACCCTGATCCTTAATTATTGGAAGAAATATTTACATCATCTGCCTCAGCAATGCTTCCTCCTTAACCACTTCATACGGCATATATGTGCCAGCTGAGAGTTGAAGAGACATCGGCCTCTGTGCTGGTAATGTCTGACCTCTGCAGAGAGGATGCTGCTTTCACACAGAGTGGAAGGATCCCAATCTACAGCATACTGGCAGGGGATAGGCTTTTTATCCTGGCTGTGGCTGCCCTCTGCAAACTTTGATCATCTTTTATTTTGATGCCCCTGGAATGTATTTAGCCGAGATGAGCTGAAAGTTCAGTTTGGCTTAAAGTTGCATTGCATTTATCCTGTGTAGTAAACAGGCTCTGGTCTCTTTTAAATTTTGTTGTAATACAGGAATGTTTCTGTATAGATGTGTGGGATTGCAGGATACCGTTTAACGTTGCATCAACTTGTTTTTCAGGTTTTGTGGCCCTTTAACGCCACAGTATTGGCTATAAAGTGCAGCTCTCTATGGCTGGATTCCAGAAAGCACAGATGCTGTCAATGTTCCAGCTCTTTTGCCTTGAGACATTGCATCAATAATGTAAATGTAGTGTTTTCCTCCCAGTAAAAGAAGGCTAAATTTCATGAATTTCATGACAGTCACCCCAGGTGTTGGTGTCTGAGACTTGACGCTTTCTCAGAACGCTTTAAACTTTCAAATGGTCTTCTGAAATATGAGGTTGACATCTCTCTTTAAGTCTGCATACATTATTCCTGTTGAGCAGGCCAGGAGAAATTCAATATATTTCTATACAAGCCATAGATTATCCAGTGAAAATATTTCTGATGTATAGATTGACACTTGCATCCCTAATGAAAGTCATAGACCTGAAGAGATATGGGGCAGTCCTGTACGTGCTCAGATGTCCTCGTGTTGATGTGTCATCTCAAGCTTGGTTAAGATGGATGACTCCAGGTCACTGGCAGTGAATACATAATACATAGAGATATATTAAATATGTATAGGAATGCTTCCCCAAACCAACAGGGAGAGATGTATGGAAGAGATTGCATACATTTATGATAATCTGACATAAATATGTTCTAAGGAACAGTGCTTAGAAGGATCAAGAAACTGTAAAAATAACAGAAACCTGGGAGCCACTCCATTTTGTATTTAATTTTTCTCCATAGGACGGGAATGATCAGCCCTGTACAGCTTCTGTCAGTTGTAAATGTATTCTTGCCCCCCTATAAAAGGTCTATGCGGCTGGGTTCCTGCATGACTGCCACAAGCAAAGCTCTAACTTGGGGCTTTGCTTGCAGAGATTGGGCTGTAGATGGTTTTAACAGGCTGCTAATTGTACACTGCAAGGTTGCTTCATTGGGCTGTAGATGGCTTTAACAGGGTGCTAATCGTACACTCCAAGGTTGCTTCATTGGGCTGTAGATGGCTTTAACAGGCTGCTAATCGTACACTGCAAGGTTGCTTCATTGGGATGTAGATGGCTTTAACAGGCTGCTAATCCTACACTGCAAGGTTGCTTCATTGGGCTGTAGATGGCTTTAACAGGCTGCTAATCCTACACTGCAAGGTTGCTTCATTGGGCTGTAGATGGCTTTAACAGGCTGCTAATCGTACACTGCAAGGTTGCTTCATTGGGCTGTAGATGGCTTTAACAGGCTGCTAATCCTACACTGCAAGGTTGCTTCATTGGGATGTAGATGGCTTTAACAGGCTGCTAATCGTACACTGCAAGGTTGCTTCATTGGGATGTAGATGGCTTTAACAGGCTGCTAATCGTACACTGCAAGGTTGCTTCATTGGGATGTAGATGGCTTTAACAGGCTGCTAATCGTACACTGCAAGGTTGCTTCATTGGGATGTAGATGGCTTTAACAGGCTGCTAATCGTACAATGCAAGGTTGCTTCATTGGGATGTAGATGGCTTTAACAGGCTGCTAATCGTACACTGCAAGGTTGCTTCATTGGGATGTAGATGGCTTTAACAGGGTGCTAATCGTACACTGCAAGGTTGCTTCATTGGGATGTAGATGGCTTTAACAGGCTGCTAATCGTACACTTCAAGGTTGCTTCATTGGGCTGTAGATGGCTTTAACAGGCTGCTAATCGTACACTGCAAGGTTGCTTCATTGGGATGTAGATGGCTTTAACAGGGTGCTAATCGTACAATGCAAGGTTGCTTCATTGGGATGTAGATGGCTTTAACGGGCTGCTAATCGTACACTGCAAGGTTGCTTTATTGGGATGTAGATGGCTTTAACGGGCTGCTAATCGTACACTGCAAGGTTGCTTCATTGGGCTGTAGATGGCTTTAACGGGCTGCTAATCGTACACTGCAAGGTTGCTTCATTGGGCTGTAGATGGCTTTAACAGGCTGTTAATCGTACACTGCAAGGTTGCTTCATTGGGCTGTAGATGGTTTTAACAGGCTGCTAATCGTACACTGCAAGGTTGCTTCTTTATAGTTTTATTGCTGGGTTTGAATAAGTTAATATCTGAATGTTCATTTAAAGAGTAATCATCCTCCCCCCAACCCAGCTCTTGGAAATGTAGAAATGTGTGCCACTTAATACGCAGCCTTTTTTGACTGGAGAGCAAGATAGGAGATGGTTTGATTACACTGATTGGATCTAGCACCCTTGCATTGCTTACATGATAGTTGAAGCAAAAGGTCTAATTAATTTTGAAAATTCAAACTATACTTACAGTACATTATTTAGTAAAAAAACAAGCCAAAGAAAGCAATCAACAAGATTTACTAAAATTAGATCAATGTACGCTTAATTATGACTGTTATATCATCACTGCACTTCATACCACCTGAATATGTCTGATCAATATTCTAAATGCAACACCGATCTGGAAAAGACACTCAAATATTCAAGTTCAGTGCTTGTAAAGGCTATTCTATGCATGAAGGTAAAAAAACCTTCTGTGTGCAGCATCCCCTCCCCCAGCCCCCCCTAATACTCACCTAAATCCCCTCTCGATCCAGTGATGTGCTCTGAAGTCTCGACGATCCCGGGACTACGTCCTCTCATTGGCTGAGACAGAAGCGGGAGCCATTGGCTCCCACTGCTGTCAATCACAGATAGTGAGTCAATGAGAAGAGGGAGGGGACGGGGCCGAGCAGTAGGTGCCCCCATAGCAAGCTGCCTGATGATCAGTGCCCAGCAGTGCCACCCACCAGTGCCAATCTGTGCCACCCATCAGTGCCCAGCAATGCCCCCTATTAGTGCCACCCATCAGTGCTGCCCAGCAGTTGCACCCATCAGTGCCCAGCAGTGCCGCCAGTCAGTGCTGTCAG